AATTAAGGAGACGACTGAACTACATTTAGAAAACAAACCAACACCCGACTTGCTTGACTTGTTTTTCTAGAAAGAGCTCCATTTACTGGAACATCTACCGTCTGTATTTATCACAGGACAACGTCACCTTTAGTTTGTGGAGGTTTTTAGCAGCAGCAGGTTCCTGAATGTCAGCTGATGCTGCAGATGGAGATGAAGCCTGATCTGTGTCTGAGGACAACATGGCAACGAGCTCGACTAAACAGGAACACGTGACTGAAGGAGTCCACGTCGGCCTCCTGACGTAGACACAGGACGAGATCAGCTGCTGGACATGTGGAGGCCCAGACCAGGCTCCGGTAGCGGTTAGCATCGTTTTAGCTCCGTCAGCGTCGTGATAATCATTAAAACCTGGAAGGAGGAGGAACGATGAATCTGTAGGAGTGTTGGCTGGAGCGTTGGAGGAGCTCAGCGTCTGAACTACGTGGACAGAAGTTTTCATCCACTCATGAAGACATCGTGTTCGTCTGGAGTTTAGTTTTAATGACTCCTGGAACTCTGAATCTTCTGTAAAGGAATCATTAAAACACAAAACAGTCCTGCATTATGGCTCTTTGTTAGATTTATTTAAACCTACCATCAGGCATGTCAGGGGCAGCATCGTGCTCTGGGGCTCAAACCTTCCACCAAGCAGGATGCTGCCCCTCCATGCCTGATTCGGACCATCAGGCACGGCGGGGGCAGCATCGTGCTCTGGGGCTGTTCTGGACGGCTTTCCAGTCATTCTGGATACAGTTTGACTTATTTCAAACTATTTTCAACGAGGTTCGAGTCATTTTCTGAGACTTCACAGCAGCTTCTTCAGAGCTTCAGCAGCTCTGTAAACAACGTTATCGGAGCGAAGCGCTGAGTTCAGGAGCTGCTGGTGAATCCTCAGAACCGCCACGTCGTCGTCTTTAGATGCCTGTCTATCGTGAAATCGTGCGTAATGGCTGCGTTAAAGTCAAATCTAGTCGGACTCGAGGCGCCGAAATGCCGTTAAAGCTGCGTTTGAGCAGCGTGAGAACCTGGAGGAGACAGCTTTAACGGACAACACATGAAACACACAGCTGTCATCACTCCATCACCCAGCCGCTACCTCCCAACGCTTTCCCAGCTTGTTGTGGACACACAGGGTCTGTCTGCACTCAATCCTGCCTGACATGAGAGAGAGAGAGTGTGTGTGTGTGTGTGTGTGTGTGTGTGTGTGTGTGTGTGTGTGTGTGTGTGTGTGTGTGTGTGAAAGTTGTGAGGAGGAAACAAGAACAGGAAGGAAAAAGACAAAGACATGAATCAAGTCGTCGTCCTGCTGCACTCCCCTAATGAATATTTCAGACACACACACACACACACACACCTACACACNCCAAAACTATATTTATTTTAAAAAGTCTTTTAAATATTTAAATGGTCGTTTTTTTCTTTGCAGTGTTTGACCATTAAGTCACAATATTTTCTACATTTTTAACTCTATTTTTCTTTTACCTTAATATTAATTTACAGATTTATTTTACAGATTTTCTGTTTTGTTAAATTCCAGATAAAATCTAGTAAATAGCAAATAAATAAATTAAATATTAATCACATACATGTTAT